TCTCTCCCTAAGTGACCTCAGTCAGCTTGTTGTTGTTGTTCACTGCTGTCAACAGCATGCCATCCACTATGCCATGACTCTGACTCATGGCAACTCCATACACGATGGAAAAAAAAACCCTGCTTGGTTCTATGCCATCTCCTTTATCAGTTGTGGACAAACTGTTGTGATCCATAGGTGTTTATTGGCTGATTTTCAAAAGTAGGTCGTCCGGCCTTTTTCCCTAGCCCCTCTTAATCTGGAAGCTCTGCTAAAACCTGTTCAGTATCATAGCAATGCCCAAACGTCTACTGACAGAGTGGTCATGGCTCTGCACAAAGTGCATTGGCTGCGAATGGCACCTGGGCCTCCCACATGAAAGACAAGAATTCTACCACTGAACCACCACTGCCCTCCTCAATCAGTGTGTTAGCTATTTAGTGCTGCTGTAACAGAAATACCACAAGTGGATGGCTTTAACAAACAGAAATTTATTCTCTCACAATTTAGGAGGATAGAAGTCCTCTAGGGGGAAATTTTCTCTCTCTGAGGGAAGCTTCTTGTCATCAGTCTTGCCCTGGGTCTAGGAGGTTCCCTGAGCAGGGACTCGGGGTCCATAATATGAGCTCCAATCCTAGATCCTCTTTCGTGGTGATAAGAAGTCCCTCTCAAAAGAGGTTGACTCAATATACAACCTAATCCTGTAGATTATATACTGCCTCATTAACATGACTGCCACTAATCTTGCTTCATTAACATCCTAGAGGTTAGGATTTACAACAGGTAGGATCATTACATCAGATCACTAAAAAAAGGAAGGTAATTATATAATACTGAGAATCATGGCTTAGGCAAGTTAACACATATTTTTTTGGGGGGCACAAATCCATAACAATCAGCTACATAACTTTAAATACTCTCCATAGGTTGACAACCTCAAATTTATAGCTCTAGTTCTGAAATTGCCCCTGAAATCCAGACGTTCATATCTCTACATTTGAACTTGCGTATCTAATAGGAATGCAAAACTGAAACTTCTCCAAATCAAATTAATTATTCCAGTCCTACATTCACCAATTCTTTGCTTCCCTCCATCCACCATGGGGCAAGAATCACTCTTGACTCTTCTCTTTTCCTCACCCTCCCATATCCAATCTAGATGTAAAAGTTTTATATATTCTATCCCCAAAACATATCCTAAATGTGTCTGCTTCTATCTCTACTACCTCAACCTTGGTGTAAGCTGCCACTTTCTCTTGCCTAGAAGATGTCAATAGTCCCTCTCCTTCTCCTCTTTATCACCTCCTACCTCCTCATCTGCCCGTGATCCATCATTACACATGAGGCAGAGTGAGCAAAAAATGCAAACCTTTGCTTTAAACCCACCAGTGGATTCCCTTACCATCGCAAACAAAACCTAATCTCCCTCCATTGGCCTATAAGGCTTTACATGATATATATGACTCCTGCCTCCATCTCTGATCACATTACTTGCCACTTGCCCCTCTCACTCTGTTCCATCCACCCTGGCATTTCAGCTCACCAACTTTTCTCTTTTCATTTAAATTAAAATGCCACCCCCAGAGACACCAATCCTTATCAATCTTGTTTTGGTTACCCCAGTGCTGCTCTAACAGAAGCTCTGGTAGCATAGTGCCTGAGGCATTTGACTGCTAACCAGAAGACTGGCGGTTCAAACCCACCAGCCACTCCTCGGAAGGAAGGTTGGGCAATCTACTTCAGTAATGATACTGCTTCGGAAACCCAAGGAAGGGTCACTATGATCTGTGTCCGACTTGATGGAACATAGCAACAACAACAACATGCTGCTCTAACAGAAAATACCACAAATGGGATGACTTGAACAAACCGGAGTTTATTCTCTTACAATTTTGGAGGCTTTAAGTCCAAGTTCAAAGTGCCAGTCTCTAGGAGCTGGGTGAAAGCCCCTCAACCTTGGGGTCGAGCTCTGCCTCCTGCTCCCTGACCACTGGAGCTAGAGGCTTTTCTTCACTCTGACAGCTGTTGGCTGCTGAGGCTGACAAGCCCAAGGTTGACAAGTGAAAAGGCACAGTCTCAATGTTACCAAACTACATGGCAGCCCACTAATTCAAGTCCAAAACAAGTCCCAAGATTGGCAGGGCACAGCAGTACTCTATTGTGTATTGAACAAAGACTTGGCTATATGCAGGGTTCAAGCGTGCCATAAACTGAAGACCTTCCACAAAGCTGCTTCTTATATACTGGAAGCAGACCACATCCCTAAAGCAGCTACTCAGCTGCTCCAGTAGATTTCACCATGGAATTGATTGCCAATCTCACCATGGAAAATAACTACATCAAGCTGCCCAGCCACTCAACCAAGCCCAGCCAACTTGACAACAACCTTAACTACCACAACCCTATTAACTCACCTCCCTTCCTGCATTACCCAAGTTAACTTTCTACCTCATTACTTCTTGATTTTTCTCATAACATCTGTCATGCCCTGAAGTAAACTCATGTATATATTGTCTCTCTCACTGTGGCACATACTACTGGTTACCTACCCAACTGTCATTTATCCTCTTTCATTTCTAACAGACTCCATGTTTAGTCTACCATGCACGCAGCCCCAAAGCATGGATCATGACTGGTCCAGGCCTGTCAGAACAATTGTGTTACCTTTTACAGAAATTGCTGTTGAGATAGGCATGTGACCAGGTTGTGGTCTATAGGATGGAAGAAGTTTTTGGGGTTTCTAGAAAAATTTTCCTTCCTGATTGAAGAAAAAGGCCATGAATAAGCTCTTTTCTCCTTACTCTTGAATTTTGATGTGATTTCTACTAGTCATCTGTGTTCACAAGTTGACTTGCCTTAGGAGAACAGAAGCCACCACGATCAGCATGAGGGAAGTGAAAGGAGCTTGGGTCTTTGATGATACCATGGAGCCAACACACCAACCATAGGGCTGGCTGTACATCTCCAAATTTTTTGTTAAGATCCATAAAGTTCTTGTTTTAAGCCACTGATATTCAAAGTTTTGGTTACTTGCATTGAACACACACTTATGCGTTCCCTCATCATTCCCACAGAAACATTGTCTGTCTTATCCAATCCTGCTCTCCCAGGAATGACAAAAGCACCTGTCATGTAGGAGGCACTCAAAGATATTTGTTGAATGAATGCATGCATGCATGAATGAAAGTACCTATTTGCATTCCTACCTTTGAACTTAGCTTTACTCTTCTACATTAGGTTTCTTCCGTTTACATAGCCTCTTGTTTGTCTCAGACTGTCTTTCCACTCTTTTCTCTCCTTTTCAACCACATCTGGCTCTTTCTCCCTAGTCTGGCTTTGCCTGTATTCATCATATATGCCTGGTTCACCACAGCATACATTTTGTCCTAGTCAAAATGTCTGACTGGGGATCATCCCACAGCAAACCTTCACCCTGGTTTCTCTACTCTGTTCCTTCAAATCCCAGGCCTAATGCACTTCTCCTGAGCATACTCTATTGTGTCTTTGATTTTCTTGTGGCCCTGATCACATTTTGCCTTGCAATGTCTTCATGAGTGAACATTTCTCTCTTCCCTATAGTATCAGCTTGAGAACTGTCCTTTGAGAGCTGCATCCATGTCCTCCTTTTATTTGTATTCCACACAAATCACAGAGCATTATGGTAAAGAGGTTTCTTAGTAAATTTATGTTGAGTAGGGAGAGCATGGCATCGTGGTTAAGCAATAGACTTTTGAGAGAGGAAAGTTTCAGTTCACATCTGCTATTTATTTGCTTGCTGTGTCAACCACAGGCAAATAACCTAATCTCAGATCCTCAGTCTCCTCACTTGTCAAACAGGAAACAATAATAGTATTATCTACATTATAGGGTTTTTGTGTATCTCTCTGAATGAGATAATACATATAGAATATTTGGCACAGAGCCTAAGAGAGACTAAACACCCATTAAATAGTTCTTATTCTTATTAATGGAGTTGCTGGGTGGTAAAAACTGTTAACACACTCATTGCTAACTGAAAGGTTGAAGGGTAGATTCCACAACTGTCTACACCACCCAGAGACCTATAAGAACCATGGATGTTGTTATATAAGTACATTGGAATTTTCTGGTTTTGAAATGTTATAGCAAAGACTATAGCAGCCTGACAATGAGTTTGAAACCATTTGTTCAGGGAGAGTAAGTAGGAGTAGGTGGAGGCTACATTTTTATGTTAATGATACTAGTATGCCTAAATTTGGAAAAAGTAGTGTTCAGGTAAGGACTCCTGGTTGCCAACCTCAGAAATTGTCTCTAGCTAATTACAGCAGCTAATTACAGGGAGCTCTGGTAGCGT